GGGAGAGATGCCTGATGGCAGGATAGTGAAATCAACACATGAAAAAAAACTTAATTCTAAGTTAGCAAACAACGGTAACTCCTGCCCCATGGTATCGGGAGGGAGGGTCGGTCCAGCCCCTTGCTAGATCGGGACTCTTCCTTGTTGAACCACTGGTCGGTTCAGCCAGCCCCCCAAGCCCTGCGTCATTCCTCCTTGGGGGGTCAAGTCTTCCTTGATCTAGGTTGGCAGGCTCTTCTTGATTTCAATGAGTAGGCTGCTTATACTTGGCTACCAGTTTTCTTTGGACTTAGCGGGCGATCCCGTCTTCTAGCTTAGACTTGATTGGAATTTGGTTGACGAGTCTACTTGGCTTTGTGAGTTCTCTCTTTCTCGACTGGGTGAGTTTGTTCTTGAGAGTATTCTAGGCGTACAACATGCATCAAATGGTTAGTCTATTTTTTAAGGATTACACTACAATTATACATCATATTCTACCAAAAAGTCAATACAAATAATTTAATTGTTCCAACAATACAAACGTTCTTCAAATAAATTGTGATACAATACAAATATATGGATTTAAATTCAGGAGACTAAAAAACTGAAAATTTCCTTCAAAAGAAAGAACAAATGAGAATTGTCATTGTAGTATATTTTCTTGACTAGTCTAGTGTTGTTTTATATATTCTTTATATGCCATGCCATATTGAATATAAGTATATACATGTGTTTAACTGTATTACGGTGGGTGCGGGCATCTACATACACACACACACTAATATATGTATGCATGCATGTGTCAATGTTGATGTGTGTGTTGTGTGTGCATGCTTGCATTTTTGTTTGTGCAAATGCGTGCATATATGTGTGTGAGTGTGTGATTGGGCATGTTTGTGATCTTCATACCTTAAATTGTTTCCCTCTTTATTTACAATAATAGGAAGTGGCGCTGAGGTAGACTGTGTCATGTGAGAGTAATCCACTTGCTCATCTCTAATACTCTTGCTATAAACCTATGATTTTTTTTTTTTTTTGGAACTTGATGTAGCAGATAAAACTATTCTTTTTTTATTTTTCCAAGTCATGATGCTCTAGCATATATGTTATAATTGAAACAGCACTCATAAAGTTGCAACTTAAAAATTTAAATTAATAGAACCCTTCACTTTCATTCGCTACCATGGCAAGTAATGCAAACCTTAAGGATTTGTACATCCTCTAAGAATTCACTTTGTGCATCATAGTAAACACCTAAAGATGTCAAATTCTTCCTGAGGATTATTACATGATTGACTCTTGTCCATGTCTAGTTACATAACTGGATCTCCGAGATCTTCATCAAGAATCTCATTCATCAAATATTGCTCGGCCTCTAAGAGAATCCTTTTTTTCCATCCATCTCTATCTTTCCTTCTTCATTCATATTTTTAGTAATACTCAACGTTCTATGAGTATCTTCACAATCCCTGCTAGATTAGAATGCTACTCATCTAGTTCTCCAATGCTAAAAATTCTTTTATCTATTGAACTTTTCAATCTCATTCTTCATTGCCATTGCATTAGGCTTTAATACTATTATGAAAAAAATTAATTCTTACGTACAAGTGCCTACAGAGTGAATCTAATAAAACATCTTATTCAAAAAAAGATATGAACATCTTATTACTTATAAGAGTGGATCTAATAAAACACAAATTGATTATTTTTTTATAAGAAGAAGAGATCGTCGAGATTGTAAAGATTGTAAGTTCATTCCAAGCGAGAATTTAAGTACCCAACATCGTTTATTAGTTCTAGATTTTAAGATGAAGAGTTGTAAAATAAATAATACTATGACTTATCATCGTAGAATTAGATGGGGAAACCTAAAAGATACAAATAAAATTATTTTTATGAGTAAAATTCAAGATTTCAAAATTTGAGATGTTCATGAAGAAGCAAATATTATGTGGGATAAAGTAACAAATACTATTAAACAAGTAGCAAAAGATGTGCATGGGGAATCAAAAGAAAAGTTTTTATAAATAAAAATAGTTGGTGGTGGAATAATAATGTGCAAGAAAAGATAAAATATAAGAAGTTATGTTATAAAAATTGGTTTAAATGTAAAAGTTTAGAGAATTGGGAAAAATATCAAACGACGCGTAGGGAGTCTAAAAGAACAATCTGTGACGCTAAAAATCTGTTTCTAATGATGTTTATAATATATTAGATACTAAGGAGGGTGAAAAATATATGTATAAACTAGCCAAACAAAGAAAAAAGAAAAGTAAAGATTTGGCTCAAGTAAAGTGTATAAAAGATGAAAATCAAAAAATATTTTTTTTTAGAAAAAGATATTCAACATAGGTGGGTAAATTATTTTGATAAATTTTTTAATGAAGTTTCTGAAAATACGATCAACCTTAGTGATCTTAATATCGTGAATAATGATAAAACGTTTCATTTTTACCGTCGCATTAATAAAAAAGAAGTTGATGAGGCTTTAAAGAAAACTAAGGGTGGAAAGTTTGCAGGACCTGATGATATCCCAATTGAAGTATGAAAATATTTAGGAGATTTGGGAGTTTCTTGGCTTACTAAACTCTTTAATATTATTTTAAAAACTAAAAA